CAGAAAAATCGACGAAAAACTCACGAAAATAAAAAAAATGTACGGTGTGTTCTAAAAAGACAAAGATATCGCAAACATATTTACTTTTATGCGTAATATATTTACGTTTATATATATATATATATATATATATATATATATAATAATATTATTTAAAATAAAAAATAAATAAATTGTGTGGATTTAGAATCATTCAAGGAATCGGGTTCGTCATAATTTGTGAAACGGGCGTTTTTGACTTCTCGGTTGATTTAATTCTAGCGAACCGCTCGTAAGAATTTCCCCCGGCGTCGATAAACGCTTCAACGAGCCGCGTAAAAATACACCAGAGTCGTCCGTGGTACTCGACGTTCGCGCCTTCTTAACGTCGAGTTACCGCCACTTTAACAGAGTCTTTAACGCTTCAAATAGATCTCGCGCGCCACCCTCCGACAGGCGTCCTCTCTGAGCGCGGTGACGTTTTTAAAGCCACGTTCACGAAACTCTCTGACTCGCGTTGTCTGTCGCGTCTCTCAGACGGGCGTAATTAACGTGAAACTGCCGCGTCCGCACCCGTTTAATGCTCGCGACTTTCGTGACGGCTCGCTCTCAGTACACCACGTTAAGCTTGCTAACTAACAATTTGACCGAATTTGTAAACTCCACCATTATACATCATCTGTCGCACTAAATATTGTGCATAGTTTTCTGTAATGTATCAGAATTTGTCATTTCCATAATTTATGAATTAATTGATAAATTTAGTGATTTGATAAAGTAAAACTCGACTATTTTTTTCAAATGTAGAGAGAGAAAGAGAGAGAGAGAGATCGAGAATAATTAATTACATTACGTCAAGTATTTGACTCCTACTCGACTCGTCCGCACTGTTGTCTTTCACAACTTTGCAGACTGTCCGACGGAAAAGACAATGGTATCGCGTGGCGATTCTGTTAAATTTTAATTAAAGATCTTCACTTTGCGCACGTTATAAAAGTCGCCACGTAGACTAATTTGTCGTGAAAAGAAGGGCCCGTTAATATCGTTGTCGTACAAGAGATCGTTCCAAGATGTACAGAGCGAAGGGAGAGTCAAGATTCTTGCCCGTTCTTGTGATGGTTGTGATTTCGGTGAAGAGAAAAAGATACATGACGCGACACGAGGGAGAAAGGAACTCGGGGAAGATGCGGTCTCTCAGGAAAGGAAGGCGAGCAGAAAAGATCGGCCACACATTCGATCTCCTATGGTCGCCATCTTTTCACTATAAACTGTGTCCCCGTAATTGGCGGTTACGAGAGTTTAATGTTTTATTCGAATATTTGTTCTTAAGGATATAAAAATAAATACAGGATTTTTCAGATACTGTTGTGTTCAGATACAAATCTATCTCAAGGGTAAAAAAAAATAGAAAAAAAACTAAACTTTTACTCACAGATTTAATTAAATAAATCTATGGTGATTAGAGAGTATGGTAATTGGAACAAATGTGTCAATTATTTTCTTATATTTAGATGATATCGATGACACATAATTGCCTCTAACTACTATTCAGTTTCATTCGGACACTTGTAATCCTGTTTATAAAAGGCCAGTCACACAACGATACACGCACGAGATCTGTTCTTAGAGGACTTCGGCTTCTCTTCGAGTTCTTTCGTTCCCCCTTCATTCGCACATGTGAACGTACGTATGTGTTTTCACACAACCATTCATGGATACAAGCGGAAGTAAGCAAGATTCTCACACGTGCAGATACAAGTGGGAGAAAATGTGTGATCGAATTTGGCAAAAAATCATATTTTTTCTAAGCACGCGTATATCGATTAAAAAAGACACTGTATATTTTTTACATATATATCTTTTGTTTTTTTTTTTTTTTTTAATATAAACTCTCTTTCATTAGTAGATTATTGGATTAGTAGATTACTTCGAAATTGATTGCATCAGTCTTTCGCTACAATGAACATTACTTAAATTGTGCATGGTGAAAGTTGTCAGAGACAAATGCTTTCTGTATTCATAAATTGACGAGTCTTGTCGATTTCATAAAATAGATAATTGATAGATTATCTCTTGATTAATCATGATATCGACTTGTTCCTAAAAGATGCCGCTCGCGTTTCAGAAATATTGTTTTTCGTTTTGTGATAATGTCAGTTATCGTGATCATACGATGAGAATGAGAAAGAGAGAGATAATACGATAGCAACAAGCACGCATTACTTTTTATGTAGCAACAATTTTTATTAAAATAAAGAAAGTTTTTATTAAATAGAATTTAAAAACTTAAGAAAAAAATTAAAAATTAAAAATTAATTTAGAAAATTAAATGTGACAATTAGAACCGATCATTGATAAATTTGAAAAATTCCGCTCGCATATAAAATTAATAAGACCACAGACAGGTGAGAGATAATGATGTTTCATAAAAAAAAAATTATGCACAATAATATCTGGACTACTTTCTGGACAACGATGTCAAATAATCGAGCTAGCTTTCGTCATTCGAATCTCTCTTTATGGAACATAAATGTACTTGAGCAATGATATCATTTTACAAACCGCAAATACTCAGTCATAAAGAAATGCTCTAGCAATATCTCGCGGATAATATGCTGCGCATTCATGCGTTTGCAGTTTTATAAACTCGAGGATAATTTAGTATCCATCCATGTGTTGCAAATAGAAACGCTTTTAACGGCGCTCGCATGTCGGGATTCGTGCGGAATTCAACATGTTCCTTGAGTGGTTGCTCCGCCAACGAGCGCATCGCGGAACGATCGTCGACAAGGTGGGGCATAAGAGGCGGTGGCGGGATAAGGCCATATCACGGCGACTCTTCCTGCACGACGAGATCCGAAGGGTTTTCGCGCCGGCGGCTGCCGCGGGGGTGAAAGTAGGGTCTTAAAAGGTTCCGGTGGGAAACCCAGCAGGGCGTGAATGGCTCCAGACACGCTGGAGGTGCCCGGAACGTTTCGTTAGAGGCGACGAGAAAAAGAGCGGGACAGAGGACCGAGGGGAAGTCCGAGGACGACGCGCACACACATACATACATACACATTTATACTTTCACATACATACACGCGCCCAAACGTGCTGCTGTGCGTGAACGGGGACACGTGTGCGCGCGCACGTAGCGCACGTCCTCGAAAGTTCGCCACTACACCACCACCGCCAATATGGGAGTATGCGGGGTCTTTGTTCACAAAAGTTGGGTTTACCTCGTTCTTTCGGAAGCCGAAATCCCGCGCGATGTGACGCGTCGTCCCTTCTCCCTTCTATTTTTGCAGCGGCGCGAGATCCCGAGATATTTCTTATGAAAATACGCGAGCGTATTGACGCACGCGGAAAATCGATGAGGCCGAGATTTGTAAACACTATACGAGCCGGAAATGGTTCTACGTAACGGAAGCGCTCGAATTTTCTCACGAACGCTTCGCGAATCGTGATAATTTATACGCAAATCGTGTAAACCGCGTGAGATGAGATTATAACATAGAGGATTGAATTGCATGAAGCATTTTCCTTCATCAAGTTTTTGTTCCTTTCTTGAAAAAAAAAAAAAAAAAAAAGCATTTTACATAAGTATCGCGCTCGGAGCTCGATTACATGTACATATATTATCGATCTGAGTTTTCTCTGTGCAAATAGCAAATTGAAGCAAATTGTTCTTGTGATATCGCTTAATGACAGAAAAACAGTTCTGTCGTGCGAGACGACATTTTCCCACCGGTGGAAACTTTTTAGTGGAAGTAACTTCGCCGCTAGAGTTGCCGTATTTTTGTGATAAACGCGTTAACGTTAAATTTGATAAGCGACGTTTTTAATCATTCACGAGAGAGGTAAACACCGAAACGCGAAAGAAAATCGTTCGCGGGAATAAAAGTTCTCGTCGATCCTATTCGTCACGCGCGTCGCGCTGTGGGCGTTTTCGTGGGTGATTTCTACGAATAGAAAGGTATACATATGAGAGTGAGTCGTTTTTCCGGGTTCTCTCTTTCTCTCTCTCTCTCTCTTTCTCACTCTTTCTTTTACACACACACACACAGTCTTTTATTTTAGTTCTCTTTCTCTCTCTTTCTCTTTCTTGTATTGGAATGCGAGAGAGGTTGGGGAGAAGGTTTTATCAACGCGGATATACAACTCGGCTTTCGAGCGGCGGCGGCGGCGGCGGCGGCGGCGGCTTTCGAGCCTCTCGAAATAACTCCGCGCCCTTGCCATATTAATTACCGGGATTCATTCCGTCTTCATTTACAATGGGCTAATTTAGCGTGAGGCAACCCCGGCGCGATTTCCTGCGCGCGAGCACGCACGTGAGAGTGACGCCTCTCTGTTTATACGGGCTTTATGGAGCTATTAATCGTGGGGGAATAATCGCGCTCTCCGGTATTCGCCAAGATTGCTTCGATAAGGATGAAATCTGAAATCTATATTTTATGCTTATTCATATATATCTTTATTTTAAGAATAAAAAGAGAGAAAACAGAGGAGAAAGATTAAAATTTCTTAAAACAATGGATAACTTTCTAACAACAAAGTTAAAAAAAAATAAGAAAAGAACTTATGCATTTAACAGTAAATATTGCATGTACATGATATGAGTATCAGTCGTTTGCTTGTGAATATATTTCTGTTTTGAGGTCGCTGATGCAAGTTGATTTAAAAAAGCCAACCATAAAGAAGAATGAATATCAGAAAAGAAACGATTGTCGCATGTACACATGTAGTACATATGTATGTCCTTATCACATATATCTGTGTATATATATATATGCGGTCATATAATGTGTAATTTATATGTATCGTCGCTATCAAGAAAAAAATAGGATGAAAAAAATGTAAAATAAAATCCCAGTATTGGAAAACTAAGTTTCAACTGCATAAATATCAAGCGAAGTCCACTCAAAACAAGTTGAAAAAGCTAATTTCTGATTGCAAAGACGGAAATACATATATTTAAAACAAATACATATGCAATTGTTTCGTACGTTGCATTAACCAACACGATTTTTCATTTTCAGTTGCTAGTTAGCGGCGGACAGCCTACGACAGCAACTTCGCCGGCGATGTCGTCAGGGGGTGCGTTGAGCCCGGGCGCCTTATCTCCTTCGTCGTCGGCGACAACGACGACGGGGGCCGGGCCCGCGGGCACCGGGGGTGCTACGACTCCCGTAGGTGCAACCGGGCCCGGTTGTTGCGAGAACGGCAGGCCCATGATGACGGATCCCGTTACGGGGCAAACGGTGTGCAGCTGCCAATACGACAGCGCCGCGAGATTGGCGTTGAGCACTTATCCCCGGTTAGCACCAACCGCGACTTCCTATTCCTCCTATCCCACGCCGACACCTTCCACCACCGACCAGGGGCCTTACCCCAGTATCGGCATGGACAGTTCGGCGTTTTACTCTCCATTGGTGAGTATTTTATTTTTGATGCAATAATAAATTAGAAAACTAAGATTTACAGTAGAACTCCAATAATTTCAAGCATTTATTTCATGGGACCGGGATTCTTTTTAGATTTCGAAATTATTTTCTTTCCTTTCTAGTTAACCGACGGATAACAAAAGATACGATGTTTCTCTTTCTCTTAGATTATTAGAATAAAGATAGATGCGCAATCTACGAGTTGCGCAGTCACTCAAAAATATCGGGGAATCATCAATAGTGAGGGAAACTATTGGCTTGTAAAGAAGAAGTCAACATTGCGACGCTTGAAATTACTGGAGTTTTATTGTAGTAAAATTTATACTTTCTATCTATAAAAAAATATTAATTTGAAAGAAAAGATATGTTTCTGTATGGGCACTGATTCAATCTCCCCTAATTTATGAGTTTATTTCGAATAACGTCTGTCTTTCTCGAGATATGTTTTATCTTACGATATGCTATAACTTTGTAACATACGAGACAAGAGTTTCTTGACAAATTTATGAACGATCGCTCCGTGTTACAACGCGCTTCGCAACGTGTAAAACGGACGTCGTCGGATGCAGATTGATTAGTTCGTCGTACTAGACGTGCCGGGCGATTATTGCTCCTTCGGTATTAACTTAAGACGGATTAGCACGTGGCGTTGCCGCGAATTAGCCTGGAATCCCGGCGACGGAACCCTCTCGGACGTCGGAATCGCGCGGAGCTCCTCGATCACCCCGTGTTCAAGAATTTCGTGCGTCTTCGCAGCCGGTGCTCGCGGGGCCGCGTCGAATTATTCACGCGTCCCGTTCTTGAGAAGCGACCGATAATAATCTTGCCTGAGTTTCGGTTCGCGGAAGGCGCGTCGCTCGTTACGTTCTCGAGGGAGACTGCCGGTGACGAATTCGCGCTCATCTGTCACCGGAGAATTCCCTTCGAGCCGCGACTGCGCGTTCATTGACTCGCAAGAGTCCAAAGCATCTTGCGAAACTTGCGTTTTAAGTTCCTGATTTATAATATTTAAAATTTGAAACAGCGTTCTATTCGCAATTTCTTTTTTATGTAGATATATCTTGTAATATACGATCGAGAGAGAGTATGCTCTATTTTTATATGAAAAGATAGAATTATCATTGAAATTAACTTTTAATATATATATGGCGGCACTTTGTGCTGAATGTGTGTAATGATAATTTCCTAGGACGAAAAGACGTGTCATCGATGTGCCGTAAATGTGTCATTAGTTGATATCAGATACCGCATACAGCTATCTCGACAACACATTTTCATTTTCACGAAGTCGCGATATTTGTACGAGTAAAAAAGCCATCAGCTTTTTGATGTTACCGCGTTAATCAGCGCATGCTGCGTCAGATAAACGCTGATACGGGAGAGACACTTATCTGAACAACACGCGCGGTTATATCGCGGTCCGTCTTATGATTTTATATTTTTATGTCATTTTCGACATATTTATTTAACAAATTAATCGTGTGAAGCAATCTTACGCTATATAACGTATTATTGTCAACTTATTATTACATTTAGACTATACAGAATGATGTCACACAGAATTTAATATTCGATAAAATTTCCGTGTCGTTTCGCATTCAGTTTTTTGCGTGCTAATGATCTATCACAACATATAATCTAGGTAATTAAATACACTCGGCAAATTGCATACATAAGCTCAATATTTTGTATACGTATCTATCGTTAGTTATCTGTGTGCCGCGGGATCGGTAAAAAATTGAAAGAAACATGTTATTATTAATAAAGTCGGTTCTTAATATCGATTACACGTACTACGATTTACACAGATGTGAGAAAAACATTGGCTATTTACAGTTGAAAATGACACGTGTACGATCAATCACATCTGCTTTATGAGCTACACCAGTTTTTCAATATATCGATTTCGTAAACACTTTTTCTAAAGCAAAAAGATACACCTTTAATTGCAATGTATCTTTTAATCGCGTTCGTAAATAAAATTCCGACAAATATTCCACGTGTGGAATCACGCACACGTTAGTACATGCGCGAATCGTTCGTCGCGCGGGTGCAACGAGCAAGATCTCGAATCAGCGACGAGGAAAAAGAAAAAAGACGAGAAGAAGAGGGAGAAGTGCTCATCGCTCTCACGTAGAGAACGCGAACGAGTTTATAGAATCAATACGAGATGCCGTGAAACAGAGACGGAGGATACTGACGGCAGCGAAAGAGAGAGAAAAGCAAAGAAGGATAAGAAAAAGATAACTGCACGAGATACAGAAAAGCACACGCAGCAGTAGACGGAAACCTCTTCTCATCAGCCGACAGATTTGTCTTATTTCACAAAGACGACGGTGTCGGCGTAACGGGGATTCCGAGATTCGCGCATGGGAACAATTTTCCTTTGGGAATGCGTCGCACACGGCGCGATTTCGAGCTTTGAACCTTTCCCTTGATGTTTTGCGCTTTATTGGCATTGTCCGCGATGTGGTCATATTTCAAATGTTACCTTAATGCGGTGAGAATTTTTATCACTCGCGTCCATTTTCTGGACTGGTCTTATATCGAAGCAGTGACACGATACAGTAGTTAAAACACAGAAGCTTTATACAGATATTTTTCTAAAATAGCTCAAGAGATGAATATTTAAAATGTACAAATCATCTTTTCCTGGTTGACTTTAAAATATTACAAATAAAAGAAATTTAATCATCAGTGATTATAGCGCGCAACATTAATAACGTCAAAATTACAACAACATAGTGATCTTAATATTTTCTTTTAGTTTTCTCGTTTTGCTTGTGTGCACACACGTGGCAAGATGTCAAGTGATTTGATTAATAATAAAAGATGCTTACTATTCTGTTAAGTGACGCAATTCGTGTTCTTGCACGAAACACTTCAGTAATGTCGGTATTAATAGTAACATTTCGCGACACTATAGAGAAGGCGAGTATGTACGCATGCTGAGTACAATATGAAACTCGTAACATTCCGATTCGCGATATCGTGCAGTGCGTTATTTTACGGCTCATTGATAAGCGTAACACGCGTACCTTTCTTAATCGTGGATTGTTACGCTTTTATAATTGGCACTTAAGCGCGACTGGCATGCAAAACCGCCACGTGCAGCGTAAGTATCGTTACACGCGGTGCAAAACGCCTAAGTATTCTGCGAGAATATATACATTGAAGAGAACTCTTGCCAAAAAATTTTTTTCCACCTACAATTTTTCGTTCAATTGTGATAAATAATAATTTGATCGATATTGTTTTTCGACATTAAAATCTCGTTAATAATTCAATTCTTTTGAAAGCTTTTATTGTGAATATAAAAATAAAATATTCTAGCGAAGATTTATTCATTCAATATGAATCAATGTATTTGTGCGAAATATATTTTTTTTTATTTAAAAGAGTTTTATTAAAATTTTATATTATTTTTAGTAACATATTGTACGCGGGACACGTACTGATTTTTTCGTGTAGGTTTGAAAACTTACAGTATATTAGTAATTGGAGCAATTTAAAAAAATTCTTTTTCGACTTTTAGTCAAATCGCCAAAACTAGTCCGCTTACATACAGATTGTAAGCGCGCAAGATATAGCCTGCATACAAAAATGTGTTAAATTACATTTATTTAAAATATTCTAGAATAATATTTAAATAACTGGATAGAGAGAAATAGCGAATATAAAATGCTTGCGTTTCTTGATCTGTTTTGATATACTACTTGTCCTTGTCGAGGCGAGTTCTGTTGTAATTGAGACTGATGAGTATGGATACGTGATATAAGTCGAAGAACGATATAGGAACAGTCTCGACATTGTATATTCTCTCTCGTACGTATTGGTTTAAGTTCTGACCGGGCAAAACTCCAGGAATGTCATTTGTCGTGCGAGACGATGTGACGGACGGACGTCATAGTTTTGCACCTTTATCGGCATAAATTGCAGTCCTACAGCCAATCGTTCGTGGAATTTCAATGTCGTAGCACAATTTGGTGCACGCGACCATTGGGTGACCCCACGATACAACAATGTAGCTCGGAATGTCATAAACGATTTGACTGTTAGGAATTTTGAGCATTTTGACGAAGGGTGACGAAGGGGATGTGCCGTCTTCTTTCAACGGTCTCGTCTATGACATAATATTCATATCGCGTGGCGATATCATCTTTCTGAGTTGCGTGAGAAATCTAGATTTTTTTAAATAAAAAGTTAGTCATTTGCATTACAAGTTTTATGATCTAATTTAATGGTTTCAGTATTGAGATATTTACTAAAGTCAAGAAAAAAATTCTTTCTTTTTAATATCTAATATATGTTTATCTTGCTCGACAAATCATTTGAAGAAAGGCGTGATCGCAATGTGTACAGCGTATTTTCACCGTGACAACCTGTCAGTCATCTTGTTAATGCGCTCGCGTTATTATGCAAGCAATATTAATTTAAGCTCGTCGAGCGCTTTGTGGTAACTGCGAAAATGTGAAGTACAGATACTGACTAATTAGCATGAAATGAAAATGGACAGTTGCCGAGATTGTGTGTGACGCTTTTCTTGATGGTGTTCGCAATTTCAAATATAATTGTGCGCATATTTAGTGAAATGGCAAACTGATATTTGAGTTTTTAATACGCCTCTTGTGTAACATTAATAATTGTACAATTATAAGCCTTACTGATATTAATTATCGGAATAATTAAACATACAAAATCTAAAATACATTTTTTATTTTCTATAATTTTTTATATTTTCTTATGTGGCCTCGTGCAATCGTTCGTAAGTCTTTTACGTGTTTCAATTTTTTTCTTGGTTTTTTTATCGAGTAGAATTAAGCAGGAAGCACGTGCGCTTTTAACGTGATTCAAATCGGCGGGCAACCGTTTCGACCAGCATTATAATATAATATGAACTGAATTAGCATTGAATGAAGTGGACGGCGCGGTGCAGATTGTCGAAAATATCTTATAACAACCAGACTTTTACGATGCGTAAGGGTGGTCCTTATTTTAAAACGGAAGCACATCAAATAGAAGGCATTAATTATATTATTTACACGAGTGAATGTTTAATTGTTGCACGAAAATTGAAAATTTTCACGTGATATTCTTTTCACAATATATTGCATCTATTAGTACATTAATTATCTTAATGTTATAGAATAGTATAATCGATATATAGAATAGTGTAATCGCGATATAGACTCGATGAAAATTAGTAAAAAAGAATTATGTATTTTAAATAAACAATAATATTCGATAATACAGTTAGAAAATAAAAAGAGTACTTTATTTTGAAACGGAGAAAAAAGATACTCTCTTGGCGCGATTTTGGGATAACTTGTGTAGAAGGTAATTATATGTGGTGGCAAAATATGGATATGATGGACTGCGCCAAACCTAATGTGTCAAGTTTGAGCCACCTCGCTGTCGAGCTCCCTAATGCGTCGCATGCATCGCAAGATTTGGGGCGCGCGCGACGATTATTGCTACCTTAATGCAGGCGCGCTCGTATAATCGGTTATACACCGGGCAGTCGGTGACCCTGTGTGACTTTGCAGTTGTAACAATAGTCCAAGGCGTCGACGTCGGACCACCCGCAGTTTGCTATTAAAGCTGCTTCTGAAAAAAAAAAAAAAAAAAAAAAAAGGAAAATAAAAAAGAAGATACGTGTGCGAGGTCTCTCCGAGGGAGAGACCCACGGCGAGGTGAGACTAAAGGCTGTGGACGAGGCTACAGTCAGGCAAGAGAGCCAAGGACACACGTCAGAACCTTCGAAAATCGAAACAGGGAGAGTTGGCGCGAGGACGGAATTAAGAATCAGGATACGCCAACGACGGCTATGACGACACTGCGACGACGACGACGACGACGACGACGCGCGCGCGCGCGCGCGCGCGACCGACGACTAGATGTAACACGAAACTTCGTGGCGCCAAAAACCACTTCTAAGCTGCTGCGCTAATAATATCCTCCATTGTGCTACCATTAACCGCATAACCTGCCGCCGTGTTCCTTCTCTCTTCTCACCTGCGCTTCTCTTCGATCTCTTTCTTCTCACTCGTCTCTCTTATTTCATTTCTTTCCTCCCCGTTTCATTCTTCTTTTAGTACGCGCTTTTATAACACGTTCTGTGAAGACACCACATACTCTATGTCATATTAATAGACTGACTGGTTGACACCTGCCCCTCATAATGCTTTAGAGATGTCCGGTTTTTTTTTTACCTCAATTCTTTCATGTCTCTTTACCTGTCCTGTTACAAGGTAACGAAAGCACAAAATGGGTGGAAGACTTCTTTTAGATGCATTTATATTGTATAATTTTAGATCCACAAATCGCTTACTATATAGGTTGAATATAAATGTTTATATGATCATTGATTTTTTAGTTTCGGTCTATCAGCAAGAATTTAGATAGACGAAACTTTTAAGGTCATTTATAAACAGGTTTATATCTCATTTAATATAAAATTTATTTTTTCACATATTTCCTCGATCGCGTATTTTGAGTGTTTTTGTTTTTATTGGAACAAGATTTAAAACTGAACAAAGTGTTGTTATTCTGAACTTGAATGTTTTAACATTATAGGAATCTCGAGAAAAAGATAAATCTTGTCATGTTTACAGTGTCAAGAAATTTATGTGCACGATGCAAGCAACGTGCTAAATAAATTAACTCCTTATCATACACGCTGCTTTTACAGGGTAATCCGTACGGGCTGAAGGACGCGACGGGTATGGGCATGACGGCGGACATGGGTGCTGCCTGGGGTACGGCCGCCCTTCAACCTGCTGCTACGGGTTACTACCCTTACGATCCAACCCTGGCCGCCTATGGGTAAGTTTATCGTCAGGTTTCATGGTCTCTCGGCTCCATTAGATTAAACCACCACCGCGGGAGAAAGAGAGAGAGAGAGAGAGAACGCGTTTCCCCTCTTCTCCTCGGCTCGTTACTTCCGCGCGCCGCCATTAAAACAAGAGTCACGATCCCGTCGTGCCCGTCGCGTTACACTCTGCTAGAAGTGTTTCCGCGTGACGACGCGGTTATCGTTATCGCGAATCCGTAATATCTCCCCTTTGCTCGTGCACCTGGAGAAGTGCACCGTTTGAGGTGTATGGACCGTTAAAATTGCATCGGTCATATCGGGTAAAATAAACCGTTCGTCGTGTTGTAGAAACCACAATCTGGCGTGATTTTTATATGCCAATATTACTCATAATGTATCGAATGCGTCTAATTTAATACGCAATCAATCTCATTTCACGAGATGTAAATATACACGTATAGATTTCCGTTATCTATACGAATGTGCGGCACATTAGTTCGATAATATCTGATAATCGTCATTGGTCGATTCGACATTCGGTCGGTAGTTGTCGCGATTTCCGAATTCTGTCGAGCTCAAGGGGGTTGAAGGTACCGGCGCTCGAGTTAGGCCAAACACGACGGACGGCTACAAAATGGCTGTAGGCAGCCGAGTGGGCGTATATAATGGAGGCTCCCAGGTTGGACGTGTGTACATACCTACGTACATATATACATATGTATATATACTGAACTCACATACACATTCGCACACATACGTATCGCCACATCGCGAGCGTAGGGAGAGCAGTAGGTCTCTCTCCGTAGGAGAGCGAGTGAGTGAGTTTATTGATTGGCTTCCTCCCCGAGGTTGGCTCGCCGGTTCGCCAGACCTCTCTGCTCTACTCTTCACTTTACTCTCGACTCCGTGCTCTCTCGCTCTATCTCCGTTCCCTGTCTCTTTTCCTTCCTGGCTCTAAAACCCTCCCTCCCTCTTTCTCTATCTTTCTCTCTCCTGTCGCCTCGTTCCTGCCGTACACTTCCTCGCACGTATACTTGCTCTACTCCCCGCGTTCGTCTACTCCCTTTCGACTGCTTCCCCAGCCACCTCCGTATCCTCCGAACGAGTCGGCTCCCACAGGTGCTTTACTTGCTTCGCTTAGCAACCCTCGTGTCCGCCTGGCGAACACACATACACACGCAACACTCACATATACTTGACGTTCACGCATAGGCAGACGCGCGCTGTGACTCACGCAACGGGAGACTTTTCCTCCCTCTTCGGAGCCCACCCCTTCGCTCTGTATAGTGCCTGTGCATGTGCTCAGCGGTGGCGGCGCCTACCAGAGAAACTCCAACGGTAGGCATTGTTTATCGTAGAATTCAGCGCCCTTACTGTCTCGCTCTCTCACCACTCACGGACAAGCCTCTATTAATTTACTTGCTTAATAATACGACGGCCGCTCTCTCGTTCTCTTCTCCCTCATCTCCGCTCTCTTCCCTTAACGGGTTTACTACGTGCCCCCCTCCTCCCCCGTCACTTTCGAAGCCGACGGGCCGCTATTGTTTCATCGGCGGCGTTGAAAGTTGCGGACTGTGTTGTATGGCGACACAAGGAAGGTCACCCTGCGCGAGGACAGAGGGTGTAAATTGAAGCGGCTCGATTGGGTCGCTTCGACGCGAACGCTCTGATTACAGGAAATGAGAAATACGTCGTTACTGGTCCCGCGAAAAGGTTCCTTTGGGAACACTTTGAACGGACAGAAGTGTATCTTTTTTTTTTGTGTGTTTGCCTTCGCGTAAATTGATGGAATTCTCTCTTTTTCTCCGTTTGCCCTGATATACTCGACCCTCACTGTCTTGTTGTTTCATTATTGGATGATGGATATGAATACGTTTACTCGTTTCCTGTACATATTTTAGTCGGAACTTTAAATGTTACAGATTAGTCGTTACGTAAGCTAACAAAACGTTATTTACGGTAACATACGCAAAAAATTAAAAATGTGAAATAAAAATTGCTCTGAGAGAGATGCGTAAAATCGATAATTATATAATTAATCGTTAACGTATACGTTTGACGAAGCTAAAGCCGCTTTTTATCCACTAAAAGATAGGACACCGTGTCAGCGAATGTGCGGCGATACTAACTTAATTTTGACCCAATCGGGAGATACCAGTTTTTAGTCTTTGATCGCGTTTACAGACGTTGACTATGTTAGGATCATAGAGAAATGTGCGATCTTTTTCTTTCTCTTTGATGATTGCCTTTGATTTTCCGTAACCGGTTACTTATTCACGTCCTTTCTGTCTGCCATCCGGAGAAAGATGCTTGGACTGGTATAATTCCAGAAAAATCGCTTGACATGTCGACGTATGGAACATGTGCAAGACTTGCTCTTTAGTCGCCGGCAAAGTAAAAAAAAAAAAAGTCTTCCTGTGGAAATTCTCACGTTTTATAGTTTGATTAAAGTAAAAATCGAACGGATCGATTTACCGTTGTAGCAGCTATTTCTGAAGCACGGCAAAATAAAACAATTACAAGAGCTGCACTAAGTAAATGCAATTAATAATATTAAAAATTAATTTACTAGTTTATGCTGATACCGTTAGAGATATGCGGACGCGTGTGATCGTAGTTTTAGTTTTACTGATCTACACAGCAACTATGCACCTTTTATTATCTAACCTGTGTTGAAACAAGGAGAAAGTTACTAAGTCAATGATTAGACGTAGACAGCATATCGTTTCATAGTAGAACGCCAACAATTGTACGACTATAGAGGGCGGATCTTGTCGATGGTACTGCGGAGCAGACGCGGCCGTAAGCTATACGCGACTGTACGGGAAGGCAAAGAGCAGAGTGAGAGAGAGAGAGAGAGAGGAAGAGAGAGATAGAGAGAGAGAGAGAGAGAGAGAGAGAGAGAGAGAGAGAGAGAGACAGAGCCAGATTGGCTGGTTGGTTGGTAGGAAACGTTTGCGCATCCGAACCCGGGCGTAACTATTGAAGCTATCTATATATATACACGGCTATACGAGGCTGGAGGACGTAATTACGCGCGTTCTGCCAATATTGGTTAACCTTTCGAGGTTGACGCCACCATATGCAAAGCCTCTAATGAGTCGCTCGAGTGCTGCCAGTGTCTAGTATTACGCGCTCCTCTATGCACCCTTTCACATCGTTATTGCCCGTCGCTAGATATTCGACGATTCTCCTGTTTTTCCTCCCCCTACCCCACCGCGTGCGCACGCCACCAATTTCGCGTTTTCGCATATAATATATTTCTCTCCGCCCTTTCGACCTCCGCGAGCGTACCGCGCTTCGAAATTGACGTTAATTCCCAAGCTACGCAAAAATACGCGCGGCGATGCGATAACTGCGAGTTTATTTATTTCGTTATTGCGCGAATCAATTTGCTGCATCCGATATCGCAATGTTTCTGACATTTAATTATCGGTCTTTCGACCTCGGCAATTGAAAAGTAGTTATTCGTTTCTATTTGCTTACCATTAGTTTCGGTTTAAAGCTGAAAAGAAATAAACCATTTTAAATAAACCGTTATAACTTATCTCTCAAAGAAAGAGTGACAGATTAACAATTGAAGTTATATCACGGAATATATCTGATTTGTACATTTATATACTTATTAATCATTTATAGGAGCAAATTATACGATACACACAGATTATACACATTTGAGTTTTTTAAGAATATTCGTTCCGCAATTCCGCTTCAACATCAACAGAGAACCGCGATGAAAAATTGTACGATTGTAGATAGCGGCCATCACTTAGAATTGACTAGTCTCGTCAGTGTTCGAACACAGCGTGTAGATGTTTATCGCTATCTTCATTTACAATCCCTTAGAATATATAAAAACACCAACAAGTGCTTTATAACGTATAAATTATTTGCCGTTTTAATTGAACACAAACTACGATACACGTAATGCGCCAACAGTGGCGTAATATTTTTTATTACCTGACCGGACTAAATCTCTCTGTTTGCTGATTTTAATTTTTGATGGAACTTGGCACACATTGTTATATCATTAAAAGAAGTGTAATTTGGACGGGAATAACAGGCGGAAATTTTTCGTAAATCAAAATATGCTACCGAAAAAAAAAAAAAAAAAAACAATAAAAATGGAAGTTACGTTGTTCGTTGCGCATTCACCAGATTTTTGTTTCGCCGCCATTCATCGTCGCATCTGCATCGCGACCATTCGCGTATATACGATCACGTCGATATATTCGAGTGATTCTCTCTCAGCACGCAACGGTACACTTAGTATGTAAATGTCAAGCGGACTCGTTGTGTATGTAGATAATTGCGCAGCGCAGCGCCGGCGCAGCACTCACAGCGTGTGGGAGGCAGTCGAAATTGCGCATATTAATGAAGGGGGCGAACTTTGATTATATCTAGAAGCGTCGTCAACCGCTGTCGATTTCTGACTGACCTTTGAGTGTGAACACATAGACTACTATACTAACATACGCAGACGTTTTTGCACACGGTCATGTATATTTCAAAAACTTTTAGTATTTTCGATTTTTCGAAAAAGTAACATATTTTTTTTAAATTCCGTAAAGTGAAAATGCACTCGAGAAATAAAGCGACTGTCGATCCACTTGAATTAAAAGTGACTTCTCACTCACATATAGAATCGATTCTCCAACTTTCTCCAATTTACTCGAAGATAAATATAAGTTTATAAATATTTGTTTCCGCAATGATATAATTATTCACTTGAAACGAGTGACACATTCAGTCCGAGTTCAACAGACACACTTTTATAAAAAGTGAATTTTTACTAATTACAAGTAGCAGTAATTTCACTATCGTTTAAAATTAGATTTCGCTTCAAGAAATTTAGAAAGTTGTGGTATATTTTTGTCTTGTATTTAATTGTTTCATCTTTCGCAAATACGTCGCTATTCGGTCGCAACCGCCTCGGCAACAGAGTCCAGAAGCCTATCGAAATCGATAGGACTCCTTCGAGGACATGGCCGCTTTCTTGCGGTAACAGCAGGAACGAGGAGAGCAAAAAGGAAAAAAAAAGGAAGAACCGTGGAAGTCGAGAAGAGGCTCGTTTTACTGACGGCGTATCCCGGCCGCCTTTCCCTTGTACGAGGGAGTTTAATAGAGGGTGAAACGTCCTCCACCTTCTTCGAGTCAGCTTCCTGCGGATTGCTGCTTCCATCCCCATCGCGGTCATCTCGGCAATCTTGGATACGGATTGTAGCGATCGGATGAGGATGGAAGGGGGTTGCGCAACCTTGTTTTCGTCGAGTGAAAGCGGGAGCCTAATCATTCGCCGTTCGTTCGATTTCCGCTTTTCTTTCTTTCTATTTCCCTTGCTCTTTGGTTTCCTTCTGCTTGCGCTAAACGATTTCTCCAATCATCTGGCTATTGCTGCTCAGCAAACCCGTCTAATTCGATTACATAGAGTGGAAATAGAAATCTGACACCGACTTTATTTCTCTATTAGTCTTCCCGATCGCTCAAACAATCTTGTGAACCCACTATTGTGATCATTTCCGCGTATCTGGAAACTGCCATAATTTAACTGCCAGATCCAAGATTAAGTAATAATTAAATCGATGCCGCTGCTGCGGTTCAACATTTCCGATTCAATGTATCTTGAAACTATTTTATATACATGCATACATATAGTCATCCATTACTTTTTACAAGATACGTTGATAAATTGTAAATTTAGCATCAATATTTTGAAAGTTTCTCGATATTCGCTTTCCAATCACGATTTGTCATTCACGATATCACAAAATCGTTATTATTCTTGGCCACCGACGAGAAGCAGCAGCATCTCTTCAAGATGCGTTCCGCACGAAGCAAAACATCGTTGCTAACAACCACCACCACTATCGTGAACCAGCGTGCCTCTTCCATCGTTTCACAGCCGATGGATTGTCGATAGGTATTTTAGCCTGTAGTATATAACAGTATCCCACCTATAACATCGCTCACCGGGTTCTTCGTTGGAGGGGGGGAGAAAGAGGAACAGGGGAAGAGAGGTAGACGCGAACGAACGAGAAGGGAACGGGCGAGAGGGGATCGATCGAATCGCCATTACGGCGAGTGAGTGCCGGGGGTGCACGATGGAATCACGCCGCCGCTGGGGGTTTATTCCCCGTATATATTTGCCGGAGTATCACCCTCGACCCACTAGGATGCCGCCCTCCTATTCCGGAGGGATTTGATGCTCGGCAAGGCGGAGAGAAAGAGAAAGGAAGGGAGAGAGAAAAGGAAAGTAAAGAAGTGAGAGAGAGACACAAATCTAGGAAAGCCGAAGGCTCGTGCAGAGCACTTCGGACTTGCCAAAATCTGCGGGGAATTCGCACCCTCGACACGATACCACTTCTCGAATGGAGTGTCCCGCTTCGACAAATATGGAACAATAGTTACCTTCTGGCAGGCAAGCGACGTAGCGAACGTAGCGTAATGGCGATTACTCAGTCGTTAATAGTGCATTTGACGTTTATTAGCGTGATGTGATCAACAACATCTCGGCCGCATTACACACACAGTATCTGTGAACTTCTCTGGATGTGTAAAATGAGAATGCGTGTTTTAAGCGATAAATCTGTACGTGCGGTAATTAAATATATAATTTGTGAAATTATTTACAGTTTAGCTGAGCGCTTCGATTTTTTCTTTACGTTGTACTTCCTATTTTCTACAAGACGCTGTTTACTCGCGCGTAACAAAATTTTTAAAAAATTTCAGAGACAGTCTCATTGTAAGTCGCCGCTCTTGTCTTTTTTAGGTACGGTGCTGGTTACGATCTGGCCGCACGGCGGAAGAATGCCACGAGGGAATCGACGGCAACCTTGAAGGCTTGGCTGAACGAGCACAAGAAGAACCCGTATCCGACGAAAGGCGAGAAGATTATGTTGGCTATCATCACGAAGATGACGCTGACTCAAGTCTCCACTTGGTTCGCGAATGCGCGGAGACGTCTCAAAAAGGAGAACAAAATGACCTGGGAGCCGAAGAACAAGACGGACGATGACGACGACGCGGTGCTCACCGATTCCGAAGATAATAAGGAGAAGGACGATCTCGCGGCGGACAACAGGGGCGATCGGGTCGGCGAGGAGGCGAGGCGAGGCCTCGATGATACCGGTAAGCTTTTTTTTCTTTTTTACACTCTTGGTATATCCATTGCCCGACAGCGCGAGTCAGAATTCATTACTCTGCAAGATGCTGCCTCCAGATACGAGCCGTCACGTTTTCACGTCGCTATCTGCGAGAACGATTTAGAAAATTGCTCGCAGTCGCGGGCGAGCTGACGTTAACACGCGAAATCTTAGACCCGCCGTTTCGCGCTACTAACAAGATTGCAAAGTACGAAACGAAATGAGACGAGAGGCGTGTCTGCTAACGCCGCGCCGCGGCGCGGCGGTATAAAATTGTTGCCGAGCGAGAGAAGCGGATAATAATAATATATATTTCAAACAACCACAAGCCGGCAGCGTTTCCTACGAAGACAGTCTGAAAAAAGCAACCGCGCAATACAATATTCGTGATAACTCGTCGTGTGTTGTCGGGAAATTTCTATCGCTGGAAACATCCGGTTTATTCAGCGAAAAGTATCGTTGGCAGAGCCTTAGAATCGTTTCTCGAAGGTAGGTCCGGCAAGGCGAGCCGATCTCTTTGGCTTCGGAATGTCGATGGCGTGTTTACCTCGCGTGACTAGTTTCCGTGATATCGAATGTCCATCAATTGACGTTTTTCATATTGCGCAAGCGCACCGGCTACGTTTTGCGCACAATGAGTCGAACTTACGACTTCGCTCCGGGCGGTTGACAGAACGTTTTTTTTCTTAACATAGTTCTTTCGTTTTTTGTTTGACTTCCTTTTGCCGTTCGTGTCATTTATTTTTATTGTTCATCTCGTCGCGTTCATGGTCATTTCGTAGACAAATGTGTCTTAGTCTCGTATTCATCCTAAGATCGATTATGAGGCTTTTAACCTTGTTATTCATCTTAAGATCGATTATGAGGCTTTTAACCTTGTGTCACCTGCGTTTACCTGTCGGTTTTTGAAGACTTTTGTAAGGCGCTCATCGAATATAAAGTTTATGGCCGGCGATTCCAAAGTACGAGGCTGCAAAATCGGCTCGTTTCTGCCGGCAAGCATGCCGCACACGCTCATTAAGGATCCGAATACCGTGCGACCCGTTTCCCAAATTGCGGTTTTGAATATCGAAGATATTTGCGTCCCAAAAGGAAGATTGCGACTCGCGTTCTATTTCTTCGTTGCTGCAGCGGCCGGAAACGGCGAGTTAGGGAATTCACAGCGAAGTACGATGCGGATTCTATATTGCGGGGGCGGACATAATGGTTCACATGTGGGTAAACACAGTGACGGGTTGCGGGTTGCCGCGCGAAGAGATTAATGGCCCTCGGTTTGGTCCCCCCGGTGGACCGGGCCGACGCCCGTTGGTATTGGTACCCCAGGCTGAACCGGGCTGCTTGCCCGTGAGCTCGCCGCGAGCCAGTGTAGGTGGTATACACACGATGTGTGAGACGAGCTCGTGTAATTGTATGCGTGAGCGAGAGGGAGAGGGTGCGCCCGGGCTGAGTAGCCATCCGTAGAACCATATACACTCCGTGTGCCACGAGGTCCATATACATGTGTATATATACACATATGTATACACTGTGAATGTATATAGATACACGCGAGAGAACGCTGGTTCGAGGTACGGTGATGTATCGGCGCCCGCGGCGAGACGAATGGTACGGACCCTCCTATGGCCACCATTACCCCACCGCACATTGGCCAATATCGAGTCTCACCCTCTCTCTCTCTCGCTCTTGCTCTCTCTTTCTCTCTATCTCTCTCATCGTATCGGTCTCTCTCCTGATTCAGGATATCTAGGTTCTGTCGTACTGCGTCACGCGTGCCTGCAATGGCTCGTAATTTCAAAAGACCGGCGCACGAGCGGAGGAGAGTACTCCGACGATGTGCGCGTCGGCCGAAAAAGAGAGAGAGAGAGAGAGAGAAGGAAAGACTGACGAAAACCGATGGGAAATTGATTTACCGCGCCGGTTTCCTCGTGTGAAAGCGTTAATGTCTTATGTCGTAAAGTTTTTTGGTTTTTTATTGTATAAAAAACAAACATTACGAGAGGGTATTGACACTTCGAACGAATGTACACGCGTATACACACACTTTTGCCGGTGACCCTTAGAAATTCAAAGGGGAGCTTTTGGCGCGCTCATGAATTTCTACGCCGAGTCTGAGGAAGATAGGTCACACGAACTGTCAGCCACGTATGCGGCGAGGGTTGAAATATTCGTATTTCGAGGAAAATATATTCAAACTCTCAGCGTTTGGTGTCCGCTATTGTTATGTAAAGTTAGATACAGAAATATATATGTACACACACACAAGAGTTTATGTACGTATGTATAATGGTTTTTAAATTATCCACCGGCACAAAATAAGAAAAGAAACGTCGAAAGAAAAAACTTATTATGCATTTCTATGAATCGCAGATTGAACAATTTGACCTTAAACTCAAGTCCAATACAATTTAGTTATTCAATTTAAACACAGAATCCGGCCGCACACGGCGCGAAGATTATGAGATTAACGTCTGATAAAAGAGGGTCAAAAGTTAAAGAGCCACTTGTGGACTCGACGGTAGTATCTATTTAGTTGGCCCATAAGGTTCTCTTTATAAGGGGTGCGTGCGCCCTAAACCGAAACTCTCTTTTTCTTTCCTTCTCCTTTCTTCTTAATATCTCTCTCTCTCTTTCTCTGTCCACGTTTCTCTTACTCCTGTAGCACAGCACGCCCTTCGAGCTTGGGAATTATCGCTTGACGACCCATCAAGTAAACCCTCTGCCGACACATTCGAACCTCTTAATGAAATTCTCACCCCTGACTGACTGGCTGGCTTCGCTCGGTGGCTACCTAGCTGGCTGGCTGGCTGGCAGACGGTCGGGACGATTCGTGGAGTGCTCCGAGAGACGGCGGAACAGGGAGATCGGAGAAAAAGAAAAGGGATACGCTTCTCTTTTTCTCGCTAACTCATCTTCCCGCCCGCTCACTGCCCCGAGGGGAAACTGAAATCTCTCGCGCCCCAAAGTGGTTGAAGGCTTCGCTCCCTTTTTTCACAGCATCCCTTACAGCTTAACTATATAGAAGCGTAAGGGAGAATACCCGCACTTTCCCGCAGCTCGGCGACCCTCCACGACACTGGAATCCCGTTACGATGACTCGCGTTTTACGTCGCACTTTCGCGCGTCGAGCATTATAAACCATTAATGCCTATATTCCTCTCGTATATCCACTTTCGCGAACTGTCTTAGGCGTTACGAAAGTGAGTCAACTTTACGAGAGACACTTGAGTGACGTTTACTCCCATGTTTTTTTACACAACACTCATTCAATGTTTAAAATGTCTACAAAAAATCTCGTCAATTATTTTCAGAGCCAATGAGGCACGTGAAAGCGGAGCTTCTACAACACGATAAGGATCTCGACGATGAAGATGATTTAGACCTCGAAGACGAACGTCGGAGAAACGAACATTTCCATCACACGATGCCACATCATCATCATCATCACCAAGGCTACGGCGAGGATCATCTGAAGGATGAAGGCATTAAGCCTGATTGCAGCGGGGGTGGTGTGCCAATCCCAGCGTCGAAACCTAAAATCTGGTCTCTAGCAGACACGGCAGCATGCAAGACACCACCTCCGCCCTCGCATCCCCACCATCAACAATATCATCACTTGCATCATCAGCAACACTATCCACAGCAACAGCAGCAACATCACGTGCCGACTCAGGGACATCATCATCACTCGCAACAACCCTGGCTTGGCCCGGGAGGCACGGGAGGTGGCGCTGCTGGTGGTGGTGGCAGCGGGGGTGGTGGAGGGAGCTTAGGCAGCTCATTTGCTCTACCCTCTTCGGCGGGGATGAGCCCGTCGGCAGCGACGGCGCCGTATTCGGGTGCTGCCGCAAGATACGGCGGCTTCCTCTCATCCTCATCAGGCGGCCAACTCCATTACAATCCCAACTCGTCGTCAGGCTCGAGCTCGAGCGCGTCCTCTTCGGCAGCGGCGGCGGCGGGGTTTCCCGAAGTTGGCACGGACACTCCACCCCAAACGCCGCCCAATATGAAGGTGGCCACACCGAACGGAGTGATCCAGGCGCCACCGGGTGGTTATTGTCCTAGCAACGCCGCTGCGACTAATGGCAATCCTAATAATCCCTACGGCGCGAATCATCCCGGCAACGGTGGTTATCTATCTAGCACGGGCTCGGCCAGCAACGCGTCGTCCTTCAGCTCGCGATTGCAGAGCTCGCCGCATAAAGACTTCTCGCCAGTCGGTCAGAATTCCATTCTCCACCAACATCAAACCACTGCCAGTTTACCGCCAACGGAAGCTACCACCGCATTTAAACCATTTTACAAAGGGTAAGTAAAAGATATTTAGTATCGTGTTTAATCAGTTGATTCGGGAGAAAATACCAAGCAAATTTATATTTAAATTGAATAAATTTTTATATTTAGTTCACGAACACAAATAACTCTCTGAGAAATACAAAGAAGTTTACATTTATTCTGTTGCAGCTCGCAATCGATGGGTAGTGGCTTCGTATCGCCCGTTTAAGAATCAGCGCAATCGTCCAGAACGATCAACTTTTTCACAGTAAGTCACATTAATTATTTGCTTATACTTGATCTATGCTTCTTTTTTGCATTTTTGATACGTGTCGTACGACTGTAAACAATTTACGTTATTACATGCAAAAAAGGTTTTTCGTCGCTCGAAAAATTTTCACTACAAAAAGTTCGAGTTAAAATTTTAAGTCGATTTGTTTGCGATCGCGACTTTCGTTAATATTGTAGCGAGCGATGTTCGTAATTTACTTTCGGCTATAAAAAGAAATCTCAACGTGATGAGCAGTGGGGGAGAGAGCGGAGAGAGGAAGAAAAGGTAAGTTGTCCGGAGCAACGGTACATGACCGGCTTATCGGCACGAAAATCGATACAACGATTCTCGCTTGCGCGAACGGCGAAAGGCGCGCCGGTCGAACTGGTGTGTTGTTGCTCGGTTGTGCCAAACTCGCGCACGGCCGAGACACCTCGAGAACAATCGATAAGAAATTAATATCCGGCGTGTCGATTGGTCGTTAAGTTGGACGACCCGAGTTGAAATAATAATGCTATCGGATTTTTTTTTCTTTTTNTTTTTTTTTTTTTTTTTTTCTTTTTTGAGTAGCGTGTGGGTAGTTTACTGTATGGTAGAGGCAACAGTCGGGAGAGAGACAGATAGAGAAATAGGGAGAAGGAGGCTATCGCCACCTCCTTGACAGTGACAAATGGACGGAGATTTCAATCAGTGAATGGAATCACCACTGGCTAACCGCGTCTTTCTCTTACCACACCAGAGTCGAGCGTGTGTGCGTTTGTATAAACGCGTGCGCCCACATGTGTTGGGACACAGTACACTCGGGCACACCTCAACCTGTCGCGTTGATGACCGAACGGACAACTCCGATTCAGTCTCGCATTTAGGTCTTACGAGCGAGATCTCCTTACTCGTGAACTCGGGGATTACCTTTAAGATGGACAAATTCAAAACATTGTAAGAGTCAATTTTGATTAATAATACTCTTGTAAATTGTGCGTAAAATATATATACATATAATGTGTATATGAATTAGTAATAATTAGTAATAATTATTACGTTACTAACAGATAGTTTGTAGGTAAAAAAATAGCTGATTTTTGTTTTCAAAGATTTTATCAAATTTCAATTTGAAGCGAGAGGTAAAAGATCGATAGAACAAATGCGTTAGTATGCGACTTGTGAGCAATTCGATAAGTCGGTGGAGAGAAGATAGAAAAGTGGTTGTCCGCGATAGTCGAGAGACGATCGTTAAAGCGTCTCGGAAAAGCCGTAGTCTTCGTTTTCATTCGCGGCTGTGGATAAAAGGAGGGTCGGAACGGCTGTTCTCTCGTTTCCTTACAAACGATTCGCGGGATTCATCTCCAGGGCTTACCCTCGCCGCGCGTTCTCCTCCATTCTTCTCGGCGAATCTTCCCCGTGGTATCCGTAACGTCGCGGTGCAAGCACGAGTCTTTGAAGGTTATCTGATTCGCGTCGGAATCTCTCGTAAAGGAACCGAATCTCTACTCGTGGAAATACGTTTTCCGGTTTTCCCTCGCGTCGATTCGAGGGTAGTTCGAGCAAAGCGAGACACTCTCGAGTTTTCTCTCCATACTGGTACTTGATAGCACAATGGGATTTTGTTCGACAAGATCAAAAACTATTGCGTGAAGTGTATCAGTCTCTCTTTGCTCATAAAATGTAACGTAGAAAACATGGAAAATCAAACGAAATATTAAATTCAATGTGTAAAAAACAGTTTTATTTGATCAAAATATTATTTTCGCAACAAATTAAAAAACGAACGAGACAAAATATAGCTAATGTAGTGGGACAAAGTGTGAAGAGAAAAAACAATTCTAAGTTCATCGATCATCGGTTTTTCGCAAAAAACGAGGTGATGAAGATTCGAGAGAACGGGTCGAAGCAAACGCTACCACGCATCGGCTGCGGTGGACGTTCGTCGTCGTTGTCTTTGTAGGATGCCACAACGTGGACGCAAACGGAAAGGTGGCGGGTAGAACGGGGTTGGAGGATAAGAGGGAAGGAGTCGTCTTTTCGGAGGGAACCGGGTGTTAGCCGGTACTGTCTTATCTCGCGGCGATCTGATCCTAATTTATAGCCGCGTTCCAAATAAACTAGTTTGCGCTGTCGTCACCTCTCGCCTCTTCTTCTCCCGTGTGTACATATATATATATATATATGCACACATATGTACACATTATATACACATATATGTACATATACACACACTGGACGCGTCGGTGCGTCCTCAGCTTGGACGCACTTATAATGCTACCCTCCCTCCTACTCTTCCTTTCCTCTCCTTGGTCCGGCACCCGCTTCGTCCGCACCATCTCGATCTCCTGCGTCTTCGCCTTCTTCCCTGTCGCACAAACAGGCATATGAGAGTGTGAGTGTCGCGCCAGGTCGCACGAGACAGTGCCTTTTGTAGCACCTACCACCAGGTAGATCTTTCCGCTTCTTTTTCCTTCTCCTCCATCGTAGACGAAAGGTGGCGAGTCTCCGCACAGAAGTGAAGTTCTCTCTCGATGCCCGTGCCCTATAATTGCCAATTAGCGCGAGGATGTTTAATCGCCATTAGGATAGGTGGTGGAAGCCCGATCTTGGGTCCTTTCTGGTCTCGGGTGGACCCATCTAACTATGGTCATCTTGCCGACCTAGCGATATTTACACGATCTCACGGCATCTGCATAAAATTCGCGACCACCGTGCACCCGTGATTCGCCCATCGGAGGCGAGAGGATAGGCGATCTTTTTAACGGCTTCAAGATTCCGGACGAAGAGGGGAGGGAGGATTCAGGTGTCTCCTTAATAAATCCTCGAACACGTCGTCGCGGTTTCCCGCGTCCTTCTCTCCGACCTCCCTTCCTCTCCTGTTCTATCTCTGTCTCTTTCTTTTCTTTTTCCAGAAGAAAGGCTTACCGTCGCCGGTGTTTCTTTGAGAAACGCGCGTATCTGGAATTCCCGGTCCTCGGTTATTTCGTCAGACGACCGAAGTGTACGCGTTCGTCGCCGTACGCCGCGTCCTTCTTTGTCCTCGACCTCCATTTTTCGTGTGAGATGCAAGCTCGTTTCGAGCTTTATCGCGGACTTTATACCGGTCGTCTAACTTAGATCGTGAAGTCTTCAGAACCGAAAAACGGTAGTCCGGATTTACGGATGCGCGACTAGACTTCGTTGCTATCCGAGTAATCGGAGAGCTCATCGGAGACACCAAACGCACCGACGTCTTTTCGATTTCTGACGAAGTGAGGCGATGCTATCATTCATGTGATTTCGTGACTCGGTCCGCTCGACCGACCGACCGGCTAGCGCGCGGATGCAAATGTTATTGATTGGGAATAAAAACGCGGGCCGCAGTTCTTTCCTTCTTTCTCTCTCTTTCCCTCTCTTTCTTCTGAATATAAATTGACACGTTAATTTTAAAACCGGACAGATATAGTGGGAGATAGTATCTCGGCTTATTAAAAAAAATGACGCTCGCGTTACCGGCTCGCTTCGGTATGATGATCGCGTATGCGAATAAAACATCGGCGGACGAGACAGCTCGTTATCTCTTTACGTACTTACACATTATCACGTAAATACTTGACGTTATGTATACACTTACGGAATTAGTAATAAAGTTATAAAATAAACAAACTCTTCTATTTATATCGGATATGTTATAATTAAATCATTATAAAAGCTTTCATGTGCATTCGCGGTGCCTACACGTTGTTGACTTTCCGCAGGGAATAATTTGTATCGATACGCGAGCGGAATTTATACCTACGGTAAAAAAAAGTACTTAATGTAAAAGGCGAGCTATACATATGAGTTATTATTAAAGTTGCCCGTAACCGGTGCGTTCATTGAATTAATGATTGTTTGATGTTTATAATTTTATGCCGGTCCGTCTTCTGCGTTTATGCACGCTACCGCGACCGGCCACACGAGACCGACGCAATAATTACACGATGGCACATTGCTATTACAGAAGCATTTGCGTCGCGATATTCCAGACGACGGAGTATTTGTGTAATGAAATTCGCGTTATATCGCTCGCCCGCGCGTCAAATTTTTGTCGTTTCTCTTTTCGAAATTACGTTCTAAACGCGTACAACATGCGCGTTCGTGCTGATTGACGCGAGATTTCCATGCTATCTTCCCGTTACGACATTTAAATTACGATGTCACACTGAACGATCCTCACGAGAGAGAAAGAGAGAGAGAGTTTCCGTACCTAATCATTACGATCCTCTCGCCGTGATTGTAAATAAATTACTGTTACAAGAGAGAAACGCTGTTGTGAGATCTTAATCCGCAATATCGACGATCTGCCGAACACAAGAGTTTGTACGTGCGTATACACGTGAAAATATTCCACAAAAGACACAATTGCGATTAATCAGCTAGTTTATAAATTACAAATGGACAGTTTGAAACGCTCGGTTATTAGTACGTTCAGATAAAACCTGAACACCTGGACGGTTTTATCGCGTGAAATTATGCTATTTCATAACTTTTGGTTCCTATTAGAGTGAATGGCAAATGAACAAACAGGTTTCTATAGAATTTCAGTCATCGAGAAATCAACACGAATATATACGATACGCTATGTAAATATAGTCTCGCGTTAATAAAAAAGGAAAGGCATTTTGATTGTGGCGCGCACTGACGCGCTTCGAGTTAATAAAAGATATATCGCATTTAGTATTATTTATTCACTTGGAGTTTAGTTCTTACGAAGATAACAATCGCGTTTTGCGTTAACGTAAATTTGATACACGTCAAGACGAAATAGGTTTTTCAACGCGTCATCAATTATACACGCAGTCTTAATTTAAACGTAAACGTGTAAGATTATTTTTTTTCTGAATTATATTTTTAACGAGAAAGTAAACAAGGTCACAACTGACATAGATAATGTTAATGATAGCGATAAAAATGTCGTGAGACGTTTTTATCGTTTAGATAGATCGCTCGAAGTTTCGTAACAATGCACTGGGCAGAAAACGGGGACGCGCGGT